ACCATCTCTTAAATCCATTTCCCGTCAGCAAGTTCGAAGAGAAGGCCAAGTCATCTAGTGTTCCTTGAACAGACTACAATTCCGGCGTAAGTACACATTCTTGCATCAAACGTGGTCATTTCTAGAAAAGCAGAAGGTTTGGAAGGCCCCAGCAGTTTGGCACAAATAGATATTTTGACAGCATAGGCTACTAACTGTATTTTTTGTATAAATTGCCACTGGTCTCTATTGGCATGCACTGTATTTTCTTCTCAAGGAAAAGCTTTGCAAAAACTGTTTGAGCTTCACTGAGACATGTTAAAGAATTAATTACAAAGTAAAGCTGAAGGAGAAAATTAATTTTGGAAACACAAGAGGTTACTTTTCCTCCCTTTTCTGGAAGTGGGGGAGGAAGGCAGTTATTTTCATCTTCGTGCTGGGGGCAGGAGTTGGGAGCTGTCCAGTCGATAACCTGGCCATCTGAACAAGGTTTGTAATTAAAAGGTCAGTGACCTGGAAAGCTAGGGCCTCACTCTCAGGGCTTCTCAGTAATGACGGCACTATTAAATTAAGACTGTTATGAAATCAATGCTAAAAAAGCTTTCATGGTAACGAGATTCCATTCAAGGACATGCAAACTGCCTCATGAAATGGACTTAAATTATAAAAAAGAAACGTAATAAAGGAGGGTTAAATTGAAGTCTGCTGAAGAATTTACTTCCTCTAGAGCCCTCCAAGAGTGGGCTGTGCCCCCTTCTCTCAGGTCCCAAAAGTGATCCACTTGGGTTTCTTTGGCAAAGAAGAAAAGACAGGGATTCCAAGAATTCCAGACTACAAAGAGAAGAAGAAAATGAAGTCAGTTTTCTACTGGAGATTTTTGGCTTGACAGCATTTGTTTCCAGGGAACCAAGTGCCTTTGAGCTCTGACCAGGAAGAGGCATGTACAATTAAATAATTTATTCATCTCTTCAGAAATCACCATAGTCTGGCATCTTGACATTGCCAAATCTTCTGGAACTCTGATGTACTGCAAAAAGCTGTGCAAGACCTACCGGAAAACCTTGTGTAGTAAGTCACTTCCTACCAGCCAAAGTAACGAAGCAGATTAGCAGATACAACATGTAAACGGGCACCACTTCCAACAGCCTCCACCTCATCTCACCAAGCAACAGTGCCGCTGCTTTTGGAAGCACGTAGCCCATTATATTACTCATATATACAAAAGAGCAATCCAGGCAGCATATCTTCTGAAGACTGTCCAGCCTTCTGGGTGGATGTTTTCCCAACATAACTCAACAGTTACACATTTACTTGCCCTAATGCACTTCTCCCATCATTATAATTTCTAAGCTCCTCGTATGCTTTTGTCTATTCCCACAATCCCACTCTGGGAAGGCATTACTGTACTCATTTTACAGATGAAGAGGCCAAGCAACTAAGAAAAAAGACACAATAAGTCTGCAACATAGCCGGTTTTCCCTTCCCTGCCCCAAAAGACGAGCACCCTGAAAAACAGAGCTGCACATGTACAGAGCACTTCCACCCCCTTTCTCTATCTCGCCAGAAGTTACAGATTCAGAGTACACAAAACTAACAAGCCACATGAGTTACCGGATGGGTAACTGAGCAGTACGGGACATCTGAGGCACAACAGTTAGATGACAGACACATTTCCACAAGGGTTTAAACCCCACATGCTGTCTAATTACTCCCAAGGCGCCGCTGATTCTGTGGCATGTCATCAGCAGAATCAGCGAGTTGGACAAAAAACAAACAGCATCTTTTTTTCCTTTCTTTTCTTTCAGATACTCTGAGGGGAAACAGCTGTTTTTTCCCTTCATCTGAAGAAGTTCATGATAAAAAGGAGGAAATGTCATAAATTACAAAAATGCCAGTGTAAGCTTCAAAGAAAATGATAAATGATTCTAATAACTTCATGTTTCTCATTAATGCCTCTGTATTTGGGAGTTTAAAAGTGCTTAAGACAACAGAGAAATCTCATCCAACATTTGAAAGACCTTTTACAAATCCAGGATGCCCTCACTCTCCCAACTGTCATCAACAATATCATCCCATGTTTCGGAGAGAGCAGTTCAGCAAACCCCTGACCTGCAAGTAACCAGGAAAGCCTATTTTCAGCCTGTGCAACTACTGTTTCACAATAAACCAAACCCCATCCAGCTGATGATCCTGAAGAAACTTTCATTTCTCACTGCACTGCAATGTATTAAACAAAACCCAGTTCCTATATTAAATATTAAATAATATTAAAAGGAAATAAAACTTCATTGGCCTTTTTAAGGAAGGAGATGCTTATAAAAAAAGCAGAAAAAATTATAATCCAAGGCAGAACCATCTCTGCAAGTCTCAGAAGTAAAATTTCTTAGGCAAAGTCAGGATTGCGGAACCTGAAAGCTCACCCACAGCTAATGCTCCAGTCCTACCCCTGCAGCCTCCACAGGCTGTAGCTGGGGTAGTGGAAGGCACCTGCAGGGGTAGGGCCCCTGGTCTTTCCCCTCCGCATTCACAGACACAAGGCGATCGATCACCATCCTCTCTACTGCAGGAGCTTTTAGCTAGACTTAGTGGGGAGTCATAGACCTCCCCTGCATGGTTCCACAAAAGTAACTACAAAAGACAAGTTCCTATATGGCAGACAACTATCTAGAGATATGAAGATTCCCCTCCACTGAAATTCTTCTGGTGTCCACAAAAAGATTTTCTACTGCAATTTCTGCTTGAAGAAACTTGTATCAGAGTAACTGTGAAAAAAACACAAGGGTATCTCTGCATTATTTCCTACAAAGACAATTTTAAGAGAGACCCTTGTAACTGAAATGGTTTCTCTACAGCAAATGCTTTTTTGACTGGCAGTGCGGACTTCTCTACTGGACAGCCTAACTGCCTGTAAAATGGGGATAAACATTATCATTGGGATGACAATGACTGCATATCAGAGAACAGGGGGAATAGCCTTCCAAACCGTGTAATCCCTCATTTACCCAGGACTAAGCTAGCCACAACATCTATGTTTCAAGAATAATTGCCTCCACCTGCTAGAGCAGAGAGGTACCACGCCAGTATGTACCTTCTGCTCTTGAGCACTGAACAGAGGTCACGCTGTAAGCTCAGTGGTCAGATTCCATAAGGACATATTTCCAGTGACTGCTGGGTACAGGCACTGCTGGACCCTGCTCCTTCCTACCTCCTACTGTTAAGTTTTCAAACAAACAATTAGCACAAAGGAAGGAGGGCTAATTAACAAATAGGAACAAACAAACAGCTCTACCAAACCATTTCTGCTCTTTAGTAATTATTAGCCAAGCAATTCATAAGAAGCATTAGTTGGGCCACAGTTTCTCTGCGCCTCCATCTCCCCACCCTTCTTCTTCTCCCAGTCAGGGATTTATTAAAATTAAACAGATTAGATGGAGCTCCTGATACTAAAAACTGTTCAGCGAAGCCTGCGGTGGGGAAGTGCAGAGCAAACACCAGAGACATTTGTCTCTAAATTGCTCTAAATACCTTCTGCAAATGAAATTCTAACCCAGCTGTGTTGAGAGAGAAAATGAGGAATAACTGGTCATTGTCAGCACAGAAGAAGATCAGGCAGTTATAATATTGCACGATATACTGGGGGCTAAGGATCTCTCGGCAACAATAGATTTTGTATCAGGTTACCCCGGGTAATCAGCACAGCTTTTAGGCTCAGCTTTCCCTTGCTTCATTGCTTCGATGATAGAGTTGAAATCCCCAAGCTTTTATGATTAATTACTCCCCGTAGGTCCACATATTTCAAGGAAAAACTCATGGAGCACAGCGGCCAACAGGCTCCAAATTTTAATGCCATCCTGATAGCATAGCAGGGCAAGCAACATACCTATGTGATTGTAATGTTCTCTAACTGGCACTAGGACAAGCAGTGAGAGGATCACACTCAAAATTATGTACTCATGAACTACTTCTCATGACATCATTGCTAAAACACAGGACTGCCATTCCCTTCTAGGTCCTTTGCTATTCAAGATGAGCAAAGTGGTGCATACACTTGAACTCTGCATCCCATGACATCAGGTGTCAGGCGTCTCAATAAACAGTTCATAACTCAGAGTCATATATATTTCATAGGCTTCCCTACTTTTCAAAACCCAAGATCTTTACCTATAGAATTTAACGTACCCTGAAGTACTTATGACTTCAATGTATAAGTGGGTCACCCCCCTCTGAAGTTTGGAGTTTGTATTTTCAACTGCTTGAAGTGCTCCATAGTGCCTGTAATTAATTCCAAGGTAAGACTGTCATTATCTACATCTTGCGGTAAGGATCTAAGCAATACGGTACCAGGAGGGTAGCATAACACGGAGTGAGCTTCACCTGAAATGCACTGTAAGTTGTGGACTTAAAACTTTAGAAAGAAAAAAAAGAACAAAAGATAGCTCTGCCATGAGTCAGAAAGTAAAATAAATTCTCAGTAGGCAATGGCTAAGGTATGCTCTGTCTAAGACGATATAGGGTTTGTCAGGATCTGTTCTATCCCTGCTATAGAAAAAGGCTAATCTCAGTCAGTAGTTTACCATTTCAGCCTGAAAGTCAGGTTGACCCCAGGCTTGACCTTAACCTGACCTTGTTTACTTTCACCAATTCCTTCGCCCTTCATTCCTCTCTCTGGCTCTCTTCAGAAACATTTGACCTTTTCACCTAGAAGCTGGTCATTCTAAAGCCAATGTCGCTACAGTTAGAACTGACCAACTAGTCCCCAGCTCTAAACTGTCCTCATTTCAGAAAAATCTGATAATAGTTAACCCAAAAGCTGTATTCTACAATTCCACATCTGGTGCCAATATTGCTCTAGTCAGCTTGGAAGACAAGAGACTGATATTTCTTACAAACTTCAAACCTTTTTCTGAGACAGACTACTTGCTTTGTCCTTAACATCTAATTTTCCACAGCAATACATTTTGGCTTTATGCTAGCTCAAGCTCCCTCACTACCACTGAGATCACAAAATTAAGAGTCTGTACCTTTCTTCTTCAGAAATGCTCTTCTGGTTGCAAGAGGGCTTTGGCGGACTCGTGGATTCTGTAAAAACTTCACTGCTGTCACGATCTGATGAGGGCAGGAGGATTGGAGAAACAGAAGAGAGAAAACACCCAAGTTAGGAATGGTTAAATTCCTATTTTACATTATGTATTCTGTACCGCGAACTAAGGCATCAAGTCCAACACATGGAGGACAGTCTGGAGCTGATATCAAGCCAACTTTCAGAACTGGTTCAATGAGCATCAGAGTTTGTGGTTCAGCTCTAATCAAACAGCACGACTATGGTATTTCAGCCTAGAAGTTTCTTGTTGAATTGCTGTTGAAGCAGCTCAACCTGTACAAAAACTATATTAGGAGTGATTCACTTTACTTTTACACAAAAACATCTGTTCTGATTGTGGCATCAGGGTGAACAGTGTGCCTGAAGTTCACAGCGCTTAGGAGATGGACACATCCATGTGAACTAGCTGAAGAGGTGACTTCCTTCCTCTAGAGCTAAAATTAACCACGCATGGGCACGGAAGAGGTTTTTCTCCCTAAATAGTGGCATAAACCTCCTAAAATGGCAGTAAATGCTAGACCTCTGTTAGGTAGGTCTTGAAGAGTTTATCTGAAAATACAGTTTCTGTAATTCGGTTTCAAAAAGGTTTTCAAAACTTTTCACAGCAGAAAAAGAAGGAAAAAATAACACCACTACTGAAATCACTAAGTTTCACTTTGTGTTTGAATCAAACCTTTCAAATATGCATTTCTGGTCAGAGAGCAAAGTTCTGATGGGTTTAATGGCACTTTCAATGTACTCCTCAGTGCATTCCATCAATGTTTTTTTTCTTTTAAATTGCATCTCTTATTTCTTTAAATACATTAATCAGGCTAGTGTAGGCAAAACGGATCCATTGGACAATGCAATAAACATGAATTATCATCTATCCAACACGCATAATGGCTTAAAAATACATAATAGCAGGTGTAGTTTAAATGATTAGTTATTACACCTGTGGTGGGTCTGATTCAATTGGGGAAAATCATCTTTAATAGGTTAAAAGGTTTAGATCACCAGGCTTCCCTTAAAGTGGCTGTAGAGAGGGTATGATGGAGTACGCTGTCATTACTAATTCATTTAAGAAAAACATGGGGGATACAGCAAAGAACAGCATAAACGAGCGAATCCAATTTAAACATCAGGTAAAGCAGAAAACACCTTTTAAAAAAGCATGATAAATGAATTTGGAAGAGAGATGAAATTGACATATTTATTTTAACGGGAATTTGACAAAGTCCCAGCACACTTCAAAGTTGGGAGGATAAAATGAATGGGGTCTTTTTAATTCTTTTCCTTTTCTTATTTTCCTTCATTTTTTTCTTCAAGTTTACATTCAGTAATTTTGAACCATAAAATACTGAAGCAAAATACCCCACATAAAGTACACTTTGGTTTCATTTATGTGCACTTGATCTGTCACCAGCTGAAATGCAGGTGACAGGCAAATCACAGATTCAAACTGTGCTGATATTGCTACGCCAGACGCAGAAATATAAAGCGCCCAAACGAATAACTTTAAAATAATATGCTGAATAAGAAAGATGCCCAAATGAGCAGACCAACAGATATGCGAACATATCAAAACCACTTTCCTTCTAACAATAATTACTTGTTTCTTCAGAAACTCCTCAACACTCCCTCCCACAGTCAGACACAAATGGCCTGCAGACCTGAAATTCTGCAAGCTCTCCTATTTAATTATCAGTTTTTAAGCATTAAAAAACCTGTAAGAAATAAGCAATATTTTTCATTGTGCTATTTCCATCACAACCATGTGAACATTTTATTGATTCTAACTCTTTATTAAAACTTATTTTTGCCTTGTAAAAATGTAAACATTTCAGGAGTAAATTTCACTCCAAGATAAACTTCTATTTTATCTCTTCCCTGCATCACTTCCTCCATTATTCACAACGGTTTTAATCTTAAGACAAAATAAAATTACAAGCAACAACAAACTTCATAAAACAGAAACCTGGACATGTATTCCTCCTCCCAATAATCCCGTGTTTCTCGTATTTGTGTTTGCATTTACCTCTGAACATTCCTCCTACAGGCTGAGCTGAAACTTCTTCATTTTTATAATTCATCTTGTGTACATGAGCAACTTATGAAGCAATTTTGGCCATGTCAAAATGCCGATATTTTCAACAAACATACACAGGAACTCTCCTACCTTCTATGGATCATTTTCTTTGCACAAACAAGGGCAACTGCAGTCCATAATTTAAACAGAAGAAGGAGGAGGAAGATGAGAAGACTTTGCAGTCCTGTGTATAGCCAAAAAAAATCATGCAGCAAATAGCACTCTGACTCAGCTGGTAACATTGTTCCATACTATTTCTGTATCATTTGTAACACAAATTTTACAGTATTAGGACACTGCCAAATAATGTGCATTGTATCACTACTCTGATTCTTAGATTGCCAGCACACACTGGCCAGCAAACTGGTTTTATTTAGTGGATCAGGTACATATTTCTCTTAATGAAAGACAGTGTATTTGGCTTTTAAAAGCAAGGCAAGTCCATAAACTTGCTATCCCACCACCACTTCTCCTGCAGTGATGCCATACACACAGATGTATTTCTGACTGGGTGGTGGTGGGTGGAATCCTGCAGCAGGTCTCGTCCTACAGTCGGACTTTCTAATTAGAAGATCAATGTAACTATTCATGGATTATATTTGGATCTGGCCAAATTATATAAATTCAGGCCAAATATTCTGCTTCAACGTCAAAGATATAAAACGGAGGCAGGAACTTTATTGCAGGTGTTCTGGGAGTGCAGCAGGCTGGCGAAATTCTGGGCCAAAGCACGGCACTTTGACGCTACAGCCAAGGTCCCTCATTCCCGATTTCTCTCCCTTTTGTGTTAATGGGGAAGGTAAAGCCAGCCTTATTTCTTATTATGCTCAAAGCTGCAGGGTTTCCAATGAGGCAAACTAAGCTACTTTATCTGTTACTAGCATCAGAAAAATAAACAATGACATTTAAAATACTGTGGCAAACGCCCACTTTCTACCATCTCAAAAAAAAAAAAAATCCCCAAATCAGCCAATTAACAAAAACATAAAAGACAATCACCTTTGTCAATAAAAGTTCCACAAAATTTGGTAACAGAGTTCCACATGGAAAACAGAATCAAAAGCCCCCAGGAGCGCAGCCCGTAAGAGCTCTAATAGATTTCCTAATACTGGGAACCCTCTGTAGGTTATTACTAAACAGCATTTGTTGATAGACTGAGACTTTGAGATGACCTGTGATGTAAAGGTTGGGTCTGAATTATACGTTGCAAGGGATGGTATTTTGTCTTTCTGAGTGGTTCTGGATCTGTTTAAATGCAACACTTCTTTTCATTAAGCAGAGGCGGCACAGGCCATGAACTATGCACAGACAGTTTACATTACATGTGCGGAAGCAATCAACACTGGCAATATACATGACGTATGTAAAAGAAGTTGGAATTAATTTTTTTCCAGTGTATTAAAAAATAATAATATGGCAGTATCAACAAACACTCAACCTATTTCAGCCAGAGCAGAAGGCCACAGCTATAGGGCAAATGGAACTGATCAATATATTAGGCTACAGCAACACCCCCTCAGTGTACGGCTGTATGTTTGCAAGGCTCAGAAGATTAAATTGTCTGTGAAAGGTTTCTGCACTCCTACTCTAAAGGAGATACCCAGAATCCTGTTAACAAGCGTCAGGCAAAGCCAAGTTACGTTTTAACAAGGGCTGACTTAAAAGCCTGGCACTGCAATGAACAAGAAAACCCCTTCAAACAGAAATGCTGCATTTTAGTAAGAAATCAGCGCTCTGCCAGGCCTATCTTGACAAATATAGTTACCGGTGGCACACGGAAATAGTTGCAAAGCAGCTGTTAATCAGGGAAACACATCATAGAACGCTGATGCTAGCACTCATGAAAAAATGCAAGGGGCTAATTATGAAGCCATATATCTCACTAAAGAGACACTGTTCCTGGAGATTCCAGGCTGAGCTCTCCCAGAGCGGGGTCCTGGGACACTACGTACACAATGTTCTGTAACACAAGCTTCCTTCTCCCAGGACAAACCTCTTCCCAATTCAGTGTTCTGGGCCCCAGAATTCCTGTGAAATTCATATTTCACAGAAACTGCTTCTTATTGCTAAAGAAATTATCTGCAGGTCGGTCAGGAGAGAGGAAACACTTTACAGCTCCTATGATTTCATTGACATTTTTATGAAACCATACAGAACCCCAGAAATTATTTCTGTTGTGAGAGAACCTAAAAACCTACAAAGTTTGGCAGCTCTCAAAGTCATATCGAGAAAAGTTTAAAAATGCAATCACAACAACAAAAAAAACCCCATATAAAGCAGAGCAAAGAAAAAAAAATTTAAAGCAAGAGTCACAGGAGCCAGAATGAGAAAAGAACAAAGGCGAGAAAGATACAAGCTTCAAACCATATCTGAGATTAAGAACGCAGAACTAAAAGACTACAGAATAGTAACCGAAAAATGATAATACAAGCTAAAAAGGAAAAATTCCAGGTGCCTGGAAACTCAGACAACTGAGAGAGTTCTATGAATGAAATCTAACTCAAAATCATCAACGTAACAGCTGCCAGATGAAAGGTAAGAAAACACACTCCAGCCATGGATTTATCGGCCAGTTTTCACCAGCACCGGAAAGAACACGGTTGCTGAAGGCAAGCCCGGCCGCGGGCTGGGGGCAGGTGAATGTCTCTGCTGGGCCAGCCCGAAGGCAGCAGCAGGAGCGGCAGGAGCAGGAGGCTGGCGGCAGGAGCAGGAGCGGCAGGAGCAGGAGGCTGGC